GGGCTCGCGTACAGTAAGTCCAGTGTATCTCCGTGCTGCTTGTACGTTAGGATAGCGGATGTAAGGGAGGCCTGGTTAAATGTACCAAATACGGATAAACAGTCCTGAAAGAGCGCACATTAGGACTAGAAATCAAAATGCCTCACCAAAAGAATATTTAGATTTATCTTGAAAGCAATTATTGACTGAGAGATTTGGAATTCCTCAAAAAGGTCTGCCTGTAAGAAAGCACTGCCTTGGACGCACTTGGCGTCCTCCACGGTTACCTTTAGACCATTCTTTGAGACAAAGAGTGTGGCTAACTAATCCGTATAAGCGCGTAAATTATGAGACCATACATCTCTGAAATGAACAGACTTCAGCAAGCTGATAAAAGCACGGCAATTCTCAGTTTTAAGATAAACAAGCGGCTGAGTGCCAGCGGCCATGGCAAACGCGAAAGGGCCAGCGGCAGAGAGGGTAGTGGCCGAAGACGTCGAGGTTGGCACGCACACACTGTCGAATAGACCACCTAGGGTAGCTTTCCGGTTACGTAATACTGGACAGGGTCGTTAAACACCACATCAGACAAGCATATAGGGATATAACAGGAAAGGGGGTTTATATTGTATGAGGTCTATGTTACGATAACAAATGGACAGAGTAGAAGAAATTGGAAAACAACGAATACAAGAAAATAGCGAGATACTGTATAAATGATCCATTTGGAGTGGGAGGTGGTCCCGCCATATCAGTTAGACGCCAGTGGGGGTTGCAGCGCTGTCGGCAACTGCGGGAAAGGGTCGGGGAGTGCGCTGGCGATAAGAGAGACTAGCGATGAACGGTAGGGGAATAATTATCATCGTTAGGATGCGGAGGAACACTGGCTATCTTCTCTGGTAAACGACCACACCTGACCTATCCGGGATCCGCGTCAGAGTGACCTCGGCTCGTTCCAACAACTCTGTCGAACGTTTGGTGCGTTGCGGGGTTGTGGCGGTCGAGGACGTCAAGAATTTCCCGCCGGTTGTTTAGCTGGCATGTCAGTGTCGCCTTACCATCCAAAAAGGTTACTCCCTTGCTGTAACTCATCAAATTTGTACAAAATTACTGTTATATGCATTCCCAGTCCCCATCTCTTTCCAGTATACTGGATGTTGAGGCGACACCGACATGCCAGCTGATTGACCGGCGGGGAACGCAACGCTGTGGGCAAGTGCAGCGGAGGGCCGAGGGAGGTGCCGACGTTGAGAGAGAGCGTACGACGTGAGCGTTACGGAAAGTTGTGGGAAGGAGGTTGGTGGTAGAGCGTAGGGAAGGCATCAGTCCTTTTCACTGACACGCAGTTACGCCATCTCCGTCCCAGGTCCAGGCGTCAAAAGTGTCTCTTCATCCAAACAACGCTATGCAGATCGTGGGGCGTTACAGGGCTGTCACGAACGTATCCGCACAACGGTATTTTTTGTCACTCAATACTTTTAGTTCCTTTTTCAGGGCCACGTTCGAAGCCCACAAACAACCCGAACAATCAACAGGGTCCTGGTAACGATCAATTTGTCCAATTTTTCCCCTCGTTTATGCAGCCGGCTGCGTTCCCCCTTTTCGTAATCTTATTGTTAGGTCTTAGACTACTCCTATCCGTTTTCTCCCCCGCTTCTGTACCCCTTTATTATCTCACTCGTTACTATAATAGTATCCCATTCGGAATATATCCTTCTAATGTTTGATGTGTGGCGTCTGCGTGCCGATCACTGAGGCACTTATTACTCAGTTCCCGTAGGTCGTCACATATTTACCTGGTCGGAGACTTGGGAGTCTGAGAAGACCCTGCTGCCGAGACTAAAGAGGGCGTCTAGGTAGGAGTCCGCATTTTCCCCGGGCTGTTGTGTGCGGAGGCAAAATTGGTTATGGAGGGCGATGAGGGGTTCCTGGGCACCGAAAAGGTTTCCCGGCGTTGCCCATAGGTTGCTTATGGTTGTAGGGGGTGATATGCACAGATAATTGAGGCGCCTTTTAGCCGTTGGACCCAAGAGGCCCGTAATATGGTCCATTCGTTGGTCTGCCGGTAAATGTACTAGGTAGCGTTCGGCCTGTACTCGCCAGTCCAAAAAGCTGTCGCTGACCTCGTATATTGGGGGTCTAAGGGAATCCAGGGCCACTGGGGATGTGCGTGTGAGCAGATTGCCTAAGGCGGCCGTTAGTTGGTCGATGCTAGAGGAGTGGGCATCGGAGGTGGATCGAGTATTCGGCATCGTCGGAGATGCGGTCTAGTTGGTAGGGACGTATAGAAAAATGCGAATGAAACGGAGTACCGA